ATAATATATAGAACATTAGTCAAGCTTTAGAAAATAAATGAAATAACCATCATAACTGAGGGCATTAACTAGAAAGGAGCATGCAGTTTGAAAGAACCGCCTTTTATTACCCATTTATAGCTCAGCCTAGCACAATATGTGAATTTATTACAGCTAAGAGATCATCGAAGTATGGCAAAAAGTGTCTCCCTGGCAAATAGGAGGTTAGCTAAAACTAGTTAAAATGCTTGTCCAGGTTTTGCTTTGCTGATGAGTTTATAAACAATCTGTGCCCTTGTCACCCTTCCTCTGAGCTGACAACCCAACAGACATGCTGCCAGTGACCAATTTCAGACACAACTTCAGGAAATAAAGTCTTCACTGACTTCTTCCTGAACAGAGAGAAAGAGGACAGGGAATTACCGTGCCATGCACGAGGGCAGCCCTGCTGCAGGGGGTTTTGGGGGGAGGCACACTCCACCCCATGCCCCCCCTCAGCAACGGGGAAGCATGGGCGGCACTGGCCCGGCAGCTGGAGTGCTCTCCGCACTGGGCTGCTCCGGGAAGCGGCTGCGGGGCACCCAGGAAGGTTGGCAGCGTTGGGCGTAAGATCAGCAGCCCTAAACCACTAGGTGCATTCCTTACTATTGGTTCCTCGTTTGCTTATCAATCCTTATTAAAGATGAAAATAACAACACAGCTCTTTGTGGTGGAACTCTGTTAGCCACGCCTCAGCTCCCACTTCACCACAGATTCCCTGGATGCTGGGTGGAGGAAGAAGAGGTGAAGGACTGACTGGACATACTAGTAACATCTTGAAAAACATATAGCATTAATAACACGTAATATTAACACATAATGTTAAGAATATAATGAATTTCTTTCCTGCTTTGATGCATACAGCACGCCTTACTTGCAGGTTTAGAAATTCCATAATGTCAATGTGTGAAAAGTGCTACAAGTAGCTTTTTTACAGATATGATAGATTTTTTTCCTTTTTTAACAACATGTGCTTTGAACTCTGCTGGAGAGCTCTCTAATATTTATGGGCAAGAAGATGACCTGAATAATTTTGTCCTTACTGGTACCAGCTGAGGGAACGTCTTAGACTTAGGGATTTGGATACATCTGGTTTGGGAAACATATAAAAAAACTGGTTTGTTGATTCAGGTCAAGCTCTGTCACTACCTTTTTCATTGGATATCATGTTCAGATAAGGCACCAGGAAGGCTTGGATCTTCTCCAGACTTCCATTGAGAGAATAATAATCAAGAAATCACCCTCGGCTGACAAATGAAACAGGGAACAGATTGCTATCAGCATACGAGGCAGCTCCTCTGACAAGCACAGGACTAGACTGATCTCTCAGAGATGCAAGGTTTCTGGCGAGTAGAAACACTTAAGTGTCATACTTTTCCCGACAGCAGTGATATGAGAAATCACATTAACACATAACTAATTGGGGTGACAGGTTAGGTGTCTCCTGCGCTTAAGGACTTGACCTTGAACTCCAAAGGGCAGCTGAAGTATACAAATGGTTATATCTGGCCGGGCTCTAAAAAGCTTGTCCTGAGGAAAGGAGGAAATTGCCTCTTTTCCACAATCATTCTGTGTCAGAGTGAAATTTTGCTGCTTCTGGTTCAGATGTCACAACCAGGGAGAAAACAGGCTGCTCTGAAAAGCTTCTAAATGCTCAAGTGATGAGACGGAGGAATCCCAGTTCACAGAGAGTGGTCAAGCCAAGTAAGCTCTCCTGGTCTACAAGAAAGTTCAAGCAGGAGAAGTTCATACACAGCCACAGCAGATTGCACAAATACTATCAATTTGGCAAGTGGAAGTCTCTGAAAAGCAGTGGGAAAGCACTGCTAAACGGAATGAGAGTTGCAAATGAATCCACTACGCAACCTATATCCAGCATGCCCAACTCTTATTAACTAAAGAGGAAGAAGAGAAACAGAGTAATGGAAGATGAGCCTGACGTTTCCACTGGTGTTTCTTATCTAAGGAAAATCACATGTAAGAGAAAATTTTGAAAAATTCAATGTAGTGATTTGCCCAGCAGCAAAATCAAAGGCAGGTGCTGGGTATAATAGACAATACTGGTCAAACTGTTTCTTTCTGCACAGCACTCGGTAAACAGAGTCGCCGCTATTGAGTTCTAACCTCTTGTCATGCAGCAACATTGAGTCAACAATCCGCTCTCATGGCTTAATGCTTTTGATGTTTACTTTGTTCTTTCTATAGTTCAAAAGAAAGCACTAATGCACCAGTCCTCTTACCAAATACAATCTTAATCCCAGAATCCCGAGCCTTTTGCTGTTGGCCAGTTAAGTCTGTTAAGACGAAAGGATTTGATCAAGCTTTACATAACAACACAGAAGTTAAATCCAGCAAAGAGAGTTCTTTTTATCTGTACTGCTCAGACAGCTAAGAGGGGGGAAAAAAGAGGGAGAAAAAAAAAGGTAATGAACTTGGCTATGTAAAACAAAATAAGGAATTCAATTATTTCTCTTATTGCCACTTTGTCTTTTCAGTGAGTCTTCTAAAGAACCCAGATTTATTCTCCAGTGAAGTCTTTGAGTGTGAAGGCTGTAACTCTCCCCTAACCCAGAAGAACTGTGGCACCCGCTGTGCTTTTTTGCAAAGCTGAGAAATGTTTCTTTTTAATTTTTTTCCATCCCTACTGTGTATTTATGAAGGTAAAATATAGTTCATTGATTAGACACTTGCCTGGTGCTTGGTAGGGCTGGGTTCAAGTCTTTGGCCATTCATGTCCTTTGTTAGCTTAGCCCAACCAACCCTGTTTCAGTGTGTCACAGCTCCCCGTCTCTGAGACCAGTTATCAGTGATGCTGATGTTACCTTAGGACACACGAATGTACAATCATGCGACGTGTTTGCGTTACACCAGCACCTACGTAAAGACTGTGGGTAGCAAAATCAAAGCAGAACAACCATTGTAGATGGACAGATTAATATACTTTCTAGAATACTAATTGCTGCATAGAAATGTTTTGTGTGAAAATGTCAAGAGCTACAACAGCGGTTATCTTGTGCCTAAGCCTTGCAAAACTCATGCTGTGCCCTACCCAAGGTCTCAAACCATGTTTCAGCTTCACCTTACACCAACATCACAAAGTAATTACACTATTACTATCACAATCATCCAAAAATATTATTCCAGTGAACAGTAGGAAGTTACACAAAAAGGGTGAAAGCATCCTGCTCTAACACAATGCTTCAGTGTCAGCTGTTAATTACAAGATTTTCAATAACCCGTTCAAGAGGGAAGTGGCTAACACTGTCCCCAGCAGGGAAAGCACTTCCTGGAGATGCGAGAGCAGAAGGGACAAGGACCAAGCCTCAGCAACCTGCAGGCGTTTGCCTGAGCACTGGGTGGGAACAGGTACCTGTTTCCCAGCTGGCACCATGCCACGGAGCAGCTCGTCGCGGGTGGCAGCACACAAAGGAAGGACCACCTGCTGGTATCTGAATCCTGTCTTCACTGCTCAGCTACTTCAGGAGAAATGAGACGCATCACAAGTAATAATGTAAAACTGCTGAAAGACTGAAATTACAGTAGCCTAAAAGGTTTTACGCTCTACGAAAAACAATCCTGCTGCTGACTAGTTTGGAAATATTATACATTGGATATTATGTTTGCTAAGCAAGACAATTCTACACAACAAAGTAAGAAATAATTAGAGGCAGGGAAAGGTAGAATGAGACACAGAAAAAATGAAATTATTCACCTTTCTGATATTTAATATCCTGTGTTAAGTAGATTCTCCAGTAATTCCAAAAATTAAAACCCCATCCCTTATTTGAGCTATGTCCTGCTATGAGCAGAAAGGAAAACTGTGGGGAAGTTTAATACTGAAACACTTTTCACAAACACATCATGGCACGCATATCTTGCTCTTGTGTTTAACACCAGCCTACAAGCACCAGCTGAAGTTGAGCTCCTATGTTACAGGCACACACAAGGGAACACTGAACTGCAGACATGACAGAAACACGCGATCCAAGAAACAGAGTATACTGCCACATTTCACAGGTAAGGAACTGGAAGACTGACATTCTTAACATCAAGAATCTTTCAAGTTCTGTTTAGACAGAAGTCTCTACCATCAGAACAAATGACTGGAATATAAAAGGCCAGAAATTTCCAAGTTAAGCTTGTCATAGTACATTGCTCTGAGTAAACTGGGCATATTGTTTCCACCAGCCGGTAACACAAATCTAGCACACAGCCCACGCAACCACTTGTTACACTGGAGAGTCTCTGGAGTCTCATTTCCTTGGTTTCTGGCATTGTGGGGTTTTTTTGGGGGTTTTTTTTGGTTTTTTTTAATAAGCAACAATGTCTCAAAATTAATCTCTTCTGTTCATCAACCCCCACTTGCTGAACTGAAGTTCAAGGCACCTCAAACGTGACCTCTGGCACCCACAATACAGTGTTTATACCCAAGGTCCCCCAAAACCCCAACAATGATTCCATCCCCACTGCAAGGAGAGGCCAGATCACAGAGGAAGAGATGAGATGAGCCTTGGAAAGAAGCTAGCTGAGGCAACAATGATTACATTCATTTTCAAGAGAAACGTACTGAGTAAGAGTCTCTGGTCCATATTAGAAATTAATGCAGGAGTTTCTGAGCCAGGTTTGTGTAACACAGAAGGGCGTGCAGCCTATCACAAACCTCAGGGCTGACATTTTCACTGGTCGCCTTTACCACCTCTGCTGGGGACAGTGATATTCACTACTGCTACCAATGCCAAGAGAAGCACCCAGAAAAAAAAATGGTGAGACCTTGAATTAAAACACTTGGTCCCTGTGATACAACTGGGTGACTTTTTTCAGCACCAGGAGGACAGTGGTAGGAGATACAGAAATAATACCTTATTGCCATCTTAACAGCTTTGCCCAGCAAATGACACATCAGTGTATCAAGAACTGCATTCTCACACTGAATTTCTCCATTATCCCTTAATATTAACAAAGAAATTTTGTTCTTTAAATACCTTCTAGATGAAAGTGTTCATCACCAATAGTGTCTCTGTAGCCTTCCCCAGATAAATCCTGTTAAAAAAAAAAAAACAAAACAAAACAACAATGACAAATATACTATATACAAAGTGCTGAGGTGTTAAGGACATGTATGTATTATTGCCAGCATTAATTTAAAACACAAACGAGAGCACAGAAGTTGTTTTCCAGGAAAGAAGTCAATCACTTAATTAGCGGCAGTCAATGCATTTGGTGCTATTTTAACAACACTCTGGAAATACTTTAGGACAAAAATTGAGTGGAGATGAATAGATTGTACAGGGGAAAGAAAAAAGAAGTGTTCATATTCAAATCCTTTTACACAGTAGATTAATATTTAGCATTTCCACATTCTGTCAATCAAGCAAGATAAAAAAACTCCAAATGGAAACGATAAAGGAGAAACAAGCCCTTCGCTACCCACAGAGGAATGTTATCACTTGGTTCCACCAACAAACAGAAAACTTTCATATGCCAGAGGTCACCCAAGAAAAGCAGATACCAAACTCTGAAGAGCTGCCTGATCCTTCAGTCCCGAAATTAATTAAATTTTGTCAGCCCCAGTATGTCTAAAGCAATACAGAAGCAGATGCTATACATATGCAGATGATCCCATCTCAGACAAAAAACCCCATTTCTCTAACGATGCTGAAGTAGTAATAAAGGGAATCAGTGGGATTTGGAGCTAATCCCACTTAGAAAGACTCTGAAGAGCATTCTTACTCTCTTATTAGCAGACCCCTCCAGCCCCATCCCCAGCTAAACCATAAGCAACGACGGCGATCCTCATGTTTTGCCTTCTCTCGTTCACTCCGAAGGCTCTGGCGTCACCGTAACGTCACTGACCTTACAGTACAGTTTGGCTCCCTAGATTCTCCACAAACACTCTTTGCCATGGTTAAATAGCTACGGTGATAACCAAGGGTATGTTCCTAAAAAGCTGGCATGCTGCACTCATGGCCACGTTCACCTGCCCTGCAAAAACATGCCAGGAACACCAAGCCAGCATTCCCAGCACCGACCGGCAAACGGGAAGTTGGCAGCATGGAGCTTTTCGCATGGGATACGTATAAAGGAACAGTATGGGAAATTAATGTCCGGTTGTACTCATTAGCTTTATTGTTAAGCAATTTTATCATGATAAAAACAGTTCACCTCTTTTCCTTGAAAAAGCTGACAGAGGTTCTTTCCGGCCTTCCCCGTGCCCAAACGTTATTCTTTGAGATGAGTTATCCGAAAGTCACTGAGCCACAAAAGCGTATCTTAGGAATTCTTCAGTATCAATTTCTGCAGCAGCATTTTAAAAATTAGATTTCACAAACACTACTGGATAATTAGCCCAGCGACGCTGAAAATATTGGTCTGTTCATGAGCAGATACTGTGAAATAAAGTTAGAACTCATGGGCCACATGGCTCTGAGAAATGCTGGCAACCTGGCCCGGAGTGCTAGGATTCTGCACAGCACAGTGCTGCTCTAAGAGCCATTGTTCTGGATTTAGCTTTCCACACAAATCACAAAAACTATTTTGTCTCCTTGAGCTTTTGTTCCAGTAAAAAAATGTCTCTTTTTTGAGCATATTCCGATTAATATCAATCATTATCATAAGACTTGTGGAAGAAATGGACAACGAAGGAAAAGAAGCCATTAAATGCTGGCATAACATCGTATTTCTGCAAGAACATGGTCTTTCCAGGGCCCTGTAGAAGTTAGTATACTTTTTTTTAATCAAATTCCCCCTTGTCATCATTTTCCATGAAGCTCTGAGAGCACACCTCTGACTGCTCTCGTAGATAATGAGATACACAGAAGGGACTACATCAGCATATATGGCATCTATGTTCCGTCCCACAGTGTTAAATATTTAATAACTGGGTTGTTGTTTTGTTATTTGTTGTTGTTGTGTGGGGTTTGTTTGTTTTTGTTTTTTTTAACT